AAAAAAAAAAAAAAAAGATACGTTCATCTGTTTTCAGTTTGTCTGTCTTGTATTAGTAGCTTTCCTCAGGAATCTGGTGACCTTCACTGCCTATTCATGGTTAGGAATGGGGCTGTAAGATGCTGGCGGGAGCTCTGCATGTGGGCAGGGCCTTTATTGTGGGGTGAGTTAGGGTGCCCATGATGCTGGGGACCTGACATCACTGTATTTAAAGCGTTTTCTCACAGGCTACTCAGATTCCCCAGAGCAGGTACTTTCTATCTGTCGCCTGGAAGTTATAATTCTGGCCACCAGGCTTTCAGGAGCCATGCAGGGGAAGAAAGATGAGTATCTCAACAGTTTATTAGTAAATACTAACTTATTCCCCTTATTTCCCATATAGTACCCCAGTCTCTCAACTCTGCTTGGTGTTGCCTAAACCAGAGGCCTTTCATTTACTTTCTTCAGGAAATAAGACCCTAGCTTTCTGGTTTTGGTGATGGGGAGGGGAGGGGATGTTGGCAGTTCAGCTCAGCCGTGTGGAGTGAGGTAGGGAATCTGAGCTCTAATCGTGGTTTAAACTGACTTTGAACCAGTCCACCTGTTTTTAGCTTCGTTCTCATCTCCATTTATGAGGTACTTAGCGCCACCGATTCTTTTGAAGGGTCCTGTGTAGAAATTGGGTTGGTCTCAGGCTTAGTGGCTCAGGGTCCTTTCCTGGACGGCCAAGTGATATCCCACTCAGCAGGTCCCATCACCGTCTCCATCCATTCTTGGGCTTTGGGCTAAGACCAAGTGTGGTGCATTACAGTTTCCAAAGTGGTGTTAATTTCCTCTGTTTAGTTTCCTTTCTCCTTGAATGGTTCTGCATTTTAAAATTATCTGTAATGTCACAGTAGTGGGATATCAAAAGGAAGCAGTCCAGTGAGTGTGCTCAGTGCCATGTTCAGTTGAAAGTCCTGGGAGTCTGTCTTTAACAAACCCCGTTTGACAGGACAGAGAGGCTGGTTGGTAGGATTTGCGTTGTCCTCCTAGTTATAATGAAAAATGAATGAAAGAACTTTTTGATATCGAGGTGATTTCTTTGTTCTTCCAGGACTTTCCATTTCTTTTGAACGTCCTTCTCAAAGTCGTAGAACGCCCAAGTCTGTCAGCAAAGCTGTGTCTCAGAGCAGGGGTGCGGTGAGCCTCCTGGGACAAACTGCATCATCAGAGCGTCCCAGTCCCCAGAGTACCAAAAATGAACACGATGATAAGAAGACTTTGTTTGCAAATATTCCTGACAGCGGGTATTTCTTTAACATGTTACTGAGAGTTTAACCGAGGCTAATATTAAATGCCATTTCAGATTGTTAAGCTGGTAAATCTCACATACCTGGCATACATTTTTAAATAAAGTTCACAATATTGCTATGACATAGGCAATACTTCTTCTTTGTAAATGAGGAAACTGGAGTTTAAGATTTCAGGTTGGGAGCCAGGTGCAGTGACGCACGCCTGTAGTCCCAGCTACTTGGGAGGTGGAGGCGGGAGGATCACTTGAGCCCAGGAGTTTGAGGTTGCTGTGAGTTATGATACCACAGCACTCTACCCAGGGTGACAGAGTGAGACTCTGACTCAAAAAGAAAAGAAAAACCAACTTAAGATGTTTGTTTTAATAAAATACAAGCTAGAAACATCAGGATTCATGTACATTGTGATGTAGCTAACAAGTCAGTGTAGTCAACTCCAGCTGCATGATGAATGAGTTGTTGCTTCTATCTCCAGTAGTCAGCTTCTTCTTGACCTTTCCCTGGTATGGTGCTCTGGATTTGGCTTAAAGTCTCGCTAGCCAGGCGTGGTGGCTCCTGCCTGCAATCCTAGCACTCTGGGAGGTGGATCGCCTGAGCTCACCAGTTCGAGATCAGCCTGAGCCAGAGTGAGATCTCATCTCTGAAAATAGCCAGACATTGTGGCAGGCACTATAGTCCCAGCCACTGGGGAGGCTGAGGCAAAAGAATAGCTCAAGTCCAAGAGTTTGAGGTTGTTGTGAGCTGTGACACCACGGCACTCTGAGGGCGACAAAATAAGACTCTGTCTCAAAAAATAAATAGTCTTGCTGGTGGGGCCTCTTTAGCCTGACTGACCAGCACAATAAGAGATTGTGAGCTTTCTGGGGAAGAATGCATTTAGTTTGTGAGGCCATCTTGTGGCAGCTGTCCCCAAACCAATCGATCTGCCTTAAGTTGTCAGATCTAGACACAAGAAAATAAGGAAAAAGGAAAAAAGGAGCAATACAAAGGAAAAAGTGGGGGAGGGGGACAAAACCAGTCTTAGTCCAGGCTCATCTTTGACCCATTGCTAAACTAATTCCTAAACAATATGTTTAATGATCTGGGTCTAAAGCTGCTGTTTTTGGTCTTTTTCAGGATCAGCACAGGAGAAGATGCTCAATGTCCTGGATCACAAGATTTAATGGAAATGAAACCCGTGAGTCCCACTCAGGGCAGTAGACAGTCATGTGCCGTGTGTCCCTCTCGTCACATGTGTAGTTCTCCATAGCGACCTCCGGAGTTTCCACTGGAGACCTAGAGGGGCAGCTCTTACTTCTCTGGGCGTTGGGTTGTTTGGAGCCTTGTTCTTCAGCTCACATCAGGATGAATGTGAACTAGTGAAATACAGCAGAGAGAAGCAGGCTCTGGCCCCCGTTTTTGTCTATCAAGTTGATTGTAATGTAGCCGTGCACATGTATTTACCTGTCGTATCTGGCTGTGTTTACAATGTGACTGTGGAGCTGTAGTTACGACAGAGACCCTCCAGCTCATAAACCTGAAGTATTTAGTATTTAGAAGTTCATCAAACTTCAGTATGAGCAAGTTTCATATTGAAACTTGTTCTCAGTCATGCTATTTCTGTGTTACCTGCACTTGTCAGTTAAGAAGGAAAGCAGTAGGATTTAGAATGTTCTGTAGGCGGTTCAGAATGTCGCCTATTTTTCTTATATTTAATGGCAATAAGACCTTTTTATTTATTCTAAATAATTAAGTTGACAATTAACTGTAATGTGATTTTGACTGCCAGGATGCAAATAAGGTACACTTTGAGAGGGATTATTTATCCAGTGAAAGAACGAGTTTGCCCCTTCTTGCTGGTGGAGGAACAGATAATATTAATATTAACAAAGAAGAAGAAATTTCAGATGTTGTGGTGGGAATGGAGTTAAATTCTTCACTTACATCACACAATGTTTTGATGAGTAGCCCTGAAAAAATAAACCATCACAGAATATCATCTCTTTTTTCTTCTTCTTCTTCTTTTTTTTTTTCCATTCACAGACTATCCTCTCACAAGAAGAGGAAACTAAACTTCCTCAGTCAGGTGAGATCTTCTAAATATATTTAAATGAGTCTTTGTTAAAGAAATGAACTGGGATTAAGTAAGGCACAGGTTATCATAAATGTAGTTTTAGAGCTCCAGTGGTGTAATTAAATGGTTACCACACGGTACTTACATGAATACCAGTTTCTAACGATGGAGGTTGAAAGATTGGACACTCGGTAAACACCCAATAAAAAATTTTGTGTTGTAGTACTCCATTCTTCACCCTAAACCTTGAGGGAGAGCTAATAAAAATCAACAGCAGATACTAATTCATATTTGCTGTAAGGAGCATTTTACATCAGACCTAACTATGCTGTCCATCATTGTGAGTGAAGACTCTGAATTAGAAAATATTTTTAACATATAATGCAAAATTTTTTTTTTTTTTTCAAAATGTCCTGTGCCAAGACCTACCTACTGTACTGTGATGATTCTGTAACAGGAAATGGCTCTTACATTTTCATTATCATATGTGCCAGTTTCACCTGCTTTTGTCCCTGCTATTCTGTAACGCCAGTCTGTCTGAGAACTAAAGTAAAGCAAGATGTGTTAACCACATACTCAGGGTCCTCTAGCTGTTCTTTGTCAGCATCTTTTGGGTACCTTTAATAGTATAAGCATGAGTTTTTTGTTTTGTTTTGTTTTTTATTTTCTCTATACAAATACGTGTGTTTATTTGGTTTCTACTTTTTGCTTTCACAAAATTAAAAAAGCTTAAAATTTAGTAACAATAACAATGGTCAAGATAAGGACTAGAAAAAACCTTGTAAAGAACAAACGAAGATAAATACATTCAGAAAAGAAATCAGACGATTGCTAAAATCAAATATTGAGCAATAATAATAATGCAAAAAAAGAAACATTCACATTGTCAGTTAAGAGTATGTCTATCATAGAATGCTTTGACTCTGAGGTTCAGTATGGAGTCATCAGTTAACTTTTAATCTTTTTTCCCAAAGTCTCAAAAAATAGACAACTAATATTTATAAATAAAAATAAAAGATAATTTCAAAAAAAGATCATGCCAAATCTTATAGACAATAGAAAAAGAAGAAAGACTTCAAAATCCTTCTACTTCATCTGGATACACCTGATATTAAAATTGGAAAAAATATGTTATAAAGGGAAATTACA